TTACTACAGATAAGTAAAAGCATAAAAATTTTAGTATTTTTTTGCACAGTTCCGCGGACCACAAGTGTAGCAATCTAGGGGATAGCGGGGGGTAGGTGTGTTGAAATGAAAACTTGTTTTTTTGAGCAGGACACAAAAGGAAAAAGGCTAAAGCATCTCCCCACTCAACCACTTTCCATGGCCTTTATGGTTTTGAGCCATGGTGTTGGTCGGCTCCACCTTGACTTGTGAGTTGTGACCCCCACCTCAACCACCCCTACTTATCATTTTCATTCTTAAAAAAGTAGTGTATAATTTAAATTATTTTAAACTATATATTTTTAATAATTAAATATATGTGTATTTTTAGATATTAATTTTTTATATTTAATAATTTTTATGTTATAATTTAATATAATTTAAATTTTAAAGAATAAAATAAAAAACTCTTTTATTTTTTTAGTCTTAACCAAAATCTCATCTCACTTTTCGTTCCAACTTCCAACCGCACTGTTAGGTCTGGAAGGTTTTTTTGGCATGTGGGCCCTACATACTCTAGTAGAGAGAGAGGGTGGAAGCTATTTTATTGACAGAAAGTAATATAAAAATAATTTATTTATATAATTTTTATATATTATTAAATAAATATATATAATTTTATAAATTTTAATTAAAAAATAATAAGAATAATTAAATAACATACAAAATTTTATAAAAATACTATACAGAAAAGTTATTTCTAAATTATTTTTTCTTCACCTACCCACTTAATTTTTGAATTAATAGTTTAATTTCAACCATAATTCACCTAATCTATATTTTAAATTTTATATATTACCATAATAGTGTTCTGAAGATAAATTTGATTTTGTTAGGTTCAAAACAGGTACTCAAGAATTAAAAAAAAAAAAAACTATTTCAATTTTATAACTCATCATCATATAAGTAAATAAATTTGATAATTTTTTCATATAATTTTTATATCATAAATGAATATATGCATATAATACCAGTTAAAGGAATTAATTATTAAATGATATATAAAATTATATAAAAAAATTATACAAAAAGTTCTCTCAATTATTTTCCTCATTAGACCTAAAACAAATAGATAAATAGAAATCAATTTCCAATTCTACCCAACTACCATCTTGCCCAAATCATAATTTAGACTTTTTCTAAGCTCAGAAAGTCTCTTGTTCTATTTCCCATAATAATATATACCCCAACTACCTTTCTGGCCCCACATTATTATTTTTGAAAAATGAGCTTCAAGAAAAATATGAGAAACTAGTAAAAATAATTTAAGGCATCGTTTGATATACTTTTTAGTGTTTTACTTTTTACTTTTTATATTTTTTTATTATTATAAAAATATATAAAATATTAATTAAAATAAATATTAATTATAGATATATTGTTTTTAAATGTTAAAAGAATTAATTTTACTAAGAGGCTTGGTGTCCAATGTGTTCACAACATACTGAGGTCTTACGGGCATATCAAGCACAAAGCAGACCTCTCTGGTCTGCTTTCAACATGGGAAAAGAACATAAATATTAGGAGAAAATTAATAAAGGAACAAATAAACATTGGGCATGAAAAAAGCAAAATAGCTTCTTACTTCTATATATAATTTCTGAAAGTTTACTTTTATATATAATTTCTGAAACTGATGACTACTTTCTCTACAACAGACCAGATTTCTGCAAGTGGCAGACATCATGTAGGAAGATAAAGGCTCGGATCATAATCCAAGGAAGGTACATTGCTTTCTTGCATGATCAGGGATCAGCTTCACCAGCATTTCTGCAGGCACCCCTTTCAGCTCTGAATTTGAGGTAGGCAGGAGAATTGAGGGGAATTCATTAGTTGTGCATTTGAACAAAAGATTCAACATGGTAGAAATATCAATTTGTGAGTAGTTTGTTACCGTGAGGCTTAAAATTGAAAAGTGGGGGAAGGAAACGTCCGTTAGGGAGGCGAGTGTTGGGATCCCGTAGCTCATCAAAGAAGGGATGAACCAGAGCCTCCAGCTGCAGAAAAAATCAGAACGTCAGTCATGAGTCAAGTACATAGAAAAGGACGTAGAGCTGTGAGGCCTGTCTTGTCATGCATGATATATGCATCCAAGAGAGAGTATCTTAAATTTGCTCTAAAACAAGCTAAAAAGTGGTAGCCTAAAAAGACTGAAAAAAATGTAAAAAATTTACGACACATCATATACTTACAGCTGTGCTGCGAAGCTTAGGGGAATACTGCAACAGTCTTGAGACAAGGTCCACAGCTTCAGGGGGCATGCGCTTATGGAATATCTGCAAAAAGGAGAATAATAAGTACAAGATTCCATGCACACTATTTAAAGAGTAAACAACTCACATGTGTGCCTATTACCTTGTGCCATGGATGAGCTTTAATTTGGGGAAATTTGAACTCAGTATAGTTAGGATTCATGCATTTTATTTCTTCTCTTGTTGGGGTACCAAGAACCTGCATAACCACAGCAATGGTGAAGGAAAAACAAAAAATGAAGAACACAGTGGAAGAACTATGCAATTCAAGTAAGAAAGACAGATTTCTTTTAAGCCACAATAAAAAACATAGATTGGCGGATATCAATCCAACCTAACCTATATAAACTTATCCCTTTGTGTCTATCAATTAGATTTTATGGAAAAGGCACATAAGCAACAAATAGTAGAAAGCACAAAGATTTCACTTAACCAGGTAGCTCTCAAGAATGATAATATTGAAGATTTCAAGACGTTAGTTTGGAATTTAAATTACCTTAATAATTTCAACTAGCTGGTCTACTCCACTCTCACCAGGAAACAGAGGCTGAAGTCAACAGAAATATTAGTTATATCCAAAATATTGTAAATAGATAACATTTCCATTGATCTTATATCCGGTCACATATTTGTAAAGAACCATTTACCTGTCCAAGCAGTAGTTCAGCCAGTACACAGCCTGCAGACCAAATGTCAATGGCTGTGGTGTATTCAGTCGCCCCAAATATTAGTTCAGGTGCTCGATAGTATCTAGAACAGATGTAAGATATATTTGGTTCCCCTTTTACCTGTAAAATTTTGAAACAAGTTTTGCCCTGTAAAGAATTGGATAACCAAAGGAATCAAGAACATTAAACACTACTAGAATACAAACCAAAACTTTTGCACTTCCAAAATCACATAGTTTCAGCTGGTGGTTATGTGGGTTGACCTGTCAAAACGAAATAATGATGTTCAGATAGCACGCATGATATGGATGATAACGAACAAATCAAAAAGGTTAAAAAGAAAAAAAGGGACTTTGTGTAAACACACATCTGCCTGTTGTGGTGAAAGCATTAATTGATTAACATTTAAGCTCAGTTTTGGATTGTATGTGTGCACTTATTTCCTTTGCCAAATGGCCCAAATCACAGATTTTATTTTCCATACTGCCGCTTTATATATCCCTCATAATGGTAGATTGTATGAACAAATATTTCTAAATTAGTTAAGAATAAAACATTTTCAATCACCAAACGCCTACTAAGATAACTAACAAGGACTATAACTATATTCTTCACATCATACCAATAAATTTTGAGGCTTTATGTCCCTGTGGCACACTCCAATGGTGTTATGAATGTAAGCAAGTGCTCTGCAAATCTGTAGATTAGAAAAATAACAAATCCATGTAAGAGGCATAGAATAATAAATGAATGACAGGTTGCTTCTTAAAGAAAAAAAAAAAGAAGGAAAGAGAAGATTCTGAAAAAATTTCATACCTGGTACAAATAGAGTTTCACAAATATTAGTGGCATCCTCTGGTTCATTTTGTTGTAATGTTTGATAATGCGGTGAGCTGTCTCGGGGACATACTCAAGGACCAAATTTAGATAAAGTTCATCCTTCTCAGTTGTTGAAAAGAAACAGTGCTTCAAAGAGATGACATTGGGGTGGTCTAAAAGACACATGGTTTGCAGCTCACGGTTCTTGTATCTCTTATCTTGAAGAACCTTCTTAATAGCAACAGTTTCACCTGTCTCCAAGCATTTGGCCTGCAAAAGAATCACATCACGGCAACAAAAGACACATTCAGTTACAATATACAATCATAGATTTGAATGAAAAATCAGAACAAGATAATAGAAAGGAACTTAAATATGATATTTGTGATATCAAGCCATTGTCAGCCTGCAATGAACCATTACCTGGAAAACTACTCCAAAAGATCCCTGCCCAACAATGCGTTCAGCCATATAGCTTATTGTCTGCAATCATCAGAAGTGAAGCTACATCAGTATCAAGCACAAAAACCTAAAAAGGTAATTCTACCAGAGAAACTATAACTCCTTGAAAAAAATAACCTGCTTTGGCTGGCCACTTTTACTACCAATTGTCGTAACAATTACATGACCTGTCTCCATTCCATTACCATGAATTACAGTTGCTTCCACTTCCTGCATAACATTTAACAGCTTCCATGTAAATAATTTAAAACATCATCCTACACTGCTACATCAAAAAAGGATGGAAAGCATGAATAAAATCACAACAAAGAATTGAAACGTACCTTGTCATCTCGAATTTTCATGTCATTTATCTCATCAGGCAATCTACCGACACTGCCTGTATTTCCATTCGGTTCTCGTAATCCAGAAGAAGGTGCCACACTTACGGAAGCCATTGGAGGTAGAAAACAGAATGTAAATATAGCAGATCCTCCTTCAAGTACACCTTCTAAAAAACAACTAGCGAGTCAACAAATTAACTGCAGATCACATAAACCGTGTTAGAGGTTAGTTCTGGAATCAAACAACAATGCATGATAAATACATTTAACAGGCACCTAACAACTCAAATTTGCATCATAGGACCAAAAGACAGTTCCCATTATCCCCAGTACAATAACCCAAGTCAACAAATATTGAACTCTATGAACCTAATTATATGTAGGGCATTATTGTGTAAAACAAAAGGACCCATTAGCCTTAGCCAAACATGTGACAAAACCCATCATTTCTGAATCCATCAACAGCGGACCCAGAGATTAAAACTGCTCACAGAACGCACTCGTCAAATCATCATACAGTAGAAAGAACAGATGGCCTTAGTATACGCCGACAAACGACAAATTGACAAAACCAACACTGCATCCAACACTAAAGTTTTCCAAAAGCAAACAATGCCAATGCATCCGTTAGAAATATCAATTAACTGAAGTTTATGTGTACTAATTCAATGTGAAATTAGTTAATTTAATACCTAAAAAAATAAAAATCTAACAGCCTAAAGGTATATTGTCTCAATGAGCTGCACGCAGCTGCTTTGTTAGATTCTAGAACATTATACATAATGCGATAATATTCATTACTACCCTGCTTTTGGTGAATACAGAACGGAGAGAAGCTGTAAAAATTCCGACAAACAAAACA